GGCAGCAGGCCTGAAGGGGGTCCAGCGGCAGAGCCGGTGGCAGCAGGCCTGAAAGGGGTCCAGTGGCAGAGGTGGCAGAGCTGGTGGTGACGGCAGAAACCTGCTGCTAGGAACGCTGCTAAGAGAGCTGAACGAAGCTGCTACACTGGCTGTGAGCAGGGCCAGTTAGCAGTGGAGAGGCCAACAGCAGGGAGGCCAAAGGCAGAGAGGCCTGCATGGCTACAGGAGGCCTGTCCTGAGGGGCCTGAGAGGAGGTCTGCACAGCTGGGAGGGGTGTGCATGGCACACAGAAGGGCCTGTCTGCTTGCATGGCTGAGAGGAGCAGAGAGAGCTATCCTGCACTGAAGGGAAGGATGTGTTCTCCACTTTGGGGGAAGCTGTCCAGACTTTGCCTACATGCTTCCTGACTTTGAGTTGTAGCCTGTTACTTCCTTAACAAACCCTGTAACTATTAAGTATGGTTTGTGAGTTCTGTGTGGCCACTGCAGTGGATTATCGAATGCAGCAGAGAAGTAGAGAGTGCCGTGGGAAAGATGGCTGGTGTCAGAATTGGTAAAAAGGTTGGAGAGTGGAGGCATGTTTGATCTCTGCGTCATGGGAATCAGCTGTGGGCTGATCCTGGTTCTTATCTCTAAGGAATCTAGACAAGTTCTGGTGCTACTACCCGTACACAGTAAGGATCTGCTCAAACTAAGCATGGAAACACTGAAGCTGAGTTAGGCTAGATGAGGCTAAAAAGGGCTTCACTTCATCAGATTGGGAGTGTGTCCAACAAGCTGGTGTCTTGGCAAATGTGGAACAAGCATTTGACAGTGATGCTTGTCTACATATGGCCTTCTCAACCTAGAACTGGAGTTCTAGCCACTGCAATAAGACAAATAAAAGAAATGGAAGGCAAGGGATTGCAAAGAGTGAAACAAAACTGCATTTTCCACAGATGTCTACAACCTCAGAGGGTTTAGTAAGTTCGTTGGTTAAAAAATCAATATAGTGAAGGTGAGTGCACTATAAAGCACCAGACACAAAGAGTTGAAAAGTACAGGCAAACCCTCACAGAACAGCTTTCTGGTAGAATAATGTTTGAGTTTTTAAATAGCCAAGCTTTACAAAACATGTATCGCTCTCAGTACAGTACAAATACAGCTGACAGAAGGTCAGAAGCACAGACTGGTGTTCTGAAAAGCAAGCTGATGTCAACAAAGGGAATGTGCATCTTGGATGCTGTTGGTACCGAGAGAGAGAAGCCTTATTACTACATGCAGAGCAACTCTGTATTCATTAACAATAATATAACTGTTTGATGATCAAGAAGCTGTGTTTCAAGAGTTTTACATCCTAACATGATGGTTTGTGACTTACATACAGACATTTTATGTGTTTTAGTTACATTTTAGAAAATCTGTTGAGGGTTTGGGGTTGATGTGTAATGCATTATAATTTTCCTATTTAACATAATACAAACTAGACTCCAATTACAGCTTTTCCTCAGAACATTAGCAAGTTCTTTTTTGAGAAAATTATAAAACTTGTTTATAAGAAATTAAAGACACTCTAAAAAAATGAAAAGACATAGCTTGTTGACATACGAAGACTTAAAATCCCACTACTTTTGTGTGTGTAAACTTACGAGCTCACTCTAAGAATGCACCCAGAAGCAAAAAAAGCCAAGACAGGCAGGACACCCCTGAAGAATAACAACATACAGGGAGACATGCCCTACCAGATCGCATGACTTGTTATAAAGCTACAGAAATTAACAACGTGGTATTTGCCCAGGAGTAGAAGACAGAAGAATGGAACAGAAGAGAGAGCTGAAAAACAGTCTCAAGCATAAACAAACAACTAATATAAAAGAACTGGCATTGTAGCTCGGCGGGGAAAGAATGGGTTATTTAATAAATGGTAATGAGCAGCTGGGTACGCAAACGGAAAAGAAAATCCGATCTCACACCATTCATAAGAAACCATTCCAGGAAGATTCAAATTCTAAATGTAAAACTATAAAAGTTTGAGAAGACTGTATGTAAAAAAATCTTTATCATCTTGGGGTCAGTGCCATGAAAGACAAAAGAAAAGCTGAGGAATTGTTCTAGATTAAAGAAGACCTAAGAGATATGCTAACTAAATATAATTCATGACATGACCCTGGACTTGATACTGGAGTGGGGGAAAAATTGCCATAAAGGATATGGATGGGGCAACTGGTGAAATGTGACTATAAATTAAATATTAGGTAATAGTATTATATCACTGTTAAAGTTCCTGATTTTGATCTATGCTTATGTAAGAGAATGTCCTTGTTCCCAGGAGACACACTGAGGAATGTAGGGGTAATTCAATTTAATTTCAACTTCATTTCAAATGGTTCAGTGTGAATAATGATAATAATAATGCATGCGTTAGTCAAAATACATAAAAATAACATCTTTTTCAAATCCATGTTTTTGGGTTTAACTAAGAGGCAGAATTTTGATTCACGTAGTGTGACTGTATTAGATCAATGATAGATAACGGTCAACCTAAGAACTAAGGATTTTAAAATTCAAAGTCAATTATTTAAATTCATTTTAATTTACCCTTAAATAACAGTGATAAACAGTGAAGTCTGGCACACGTGTACAAACACACAGTGTACACATGCACAAATATGGTAGATGTTAACAACCAGAGAATGTAGGTGAAGGGTATACAAGAGGTATCTGTACTATTCTAGTAATTTTTCTGTGAGAAATTGTTTAGAAATAAAAAGTTGAAACTTACATCCAAATTAACTTTCAGTACCTATCAAAGTTTTCTATAGAGTAAATATATAATACATGACAAAAGATTATCCTCATCCAGAATAATAGGAATAGAAAAGCAAAGAAATTGTGAAGATAGTTCTAAACTAATTTCCATACTTACTTGAAATTGCCAGTTTCCCAAATGATCGACATCTTTAATATATACGTGATAATGTCCTCCATAGCAGCCACCTTTGTGTATAATAACTGAGAAGAGGTCATATATATATTCTGAGTCATCCAATTCACTCTAAAAGCAAAAAGAACATGGATACAGTTTATATAAAATGGTAACATACATAAGGGGAAAATTTCAACTATTGGACATTTCACTGTCATTGTTTTTTTTTTCTTTTTTAACTTTTTGGCATGTCATTGTTATTTAAGGATAAATTAAAATGAATTTAAATAATTTAAAAATTCTTAGATAGACAATTATCTATCACTGATCTAATACCAATCACACTATACCAATCAAATTCTGCCTGTTAGTGAAACATGAAAACAGGCATCTGAAAAAAGACTGTTATGTATTTTGGCTAAGACCAGGTGAGACAATGTGACAATGGGACACACTGCTTTCCCAGCGAGTCTGTCACAGAGACTCAGAAAGAGCAAAATGTCTTTGGGTTATACTAACACCTATTTTGCTGTTTTATGAATGTGCTTTGAATTTGTTCTATCTTCCAACTAGGTTACTGTGTGTCTCAAAGTCAGAGTCATACCTTTCTATCTCCCCTCCTGACACCTCAGTCCTCTGCACAGAACAGGAATTTTGCAATTGTGGATGCTAGCTGGTTTTGTTTAGAGGCAGTTTAGTGAAATGAAGTGGCTCTTTATTAATTCCACGATCAATCGTTTCCATAATTAAGATGCTCTATAATCCTTAGCGACCCAAAAAATGAACTCTGACAATGGTATTTTTTTTTTTTTTAAGTTAGATTAGGGAGCCTTGGTGGTGCAGTGGTTAAGTGCTTGGCTGCTAACTGAAAGGCTGGTGGTTCAAACCCACCAGCTGCTCCACAGGAGAAAGATATGGCAGTCTGCTTCTGTAAAGATTTATAGCCTTGGAAACCCTATGGGGCAGTTCTACTCTGTCCTATAAGGTCACTATGAGTTGGAATTGACTCAATGGCAATGGATAAGCTAAGATTAAGAGATACTTTAAAGATATTTATTTAAAGTCCTGAAACGGGTGAAAAAGGAAGGCTTAGTTTTCACATTTGAAGGTTTTGAGCCCTGGTGGTGCAGTGGTTAAGAGCTAGGCTGCTAATCAAAAGGCTGGCAGTTTGAATCCACCAGCCGCTCCCTGGAAACCCTATGGGGCAGTTCTACTCTGTCCTACAGGGTCCCATGAGTTGGAATCAACTCGACAGCAACAGGTCTGGTTTTTTTTAACCATATCACACAGGAACCCTGATGGCACAGTGGTTAAGAGCTCGACTGTTAACCAAAAAGTTGGCAGTTCAAATCTACCAACTGCTCCTTGGAAACCCTATGAAGCAGTTCTGCCCCGTCTTATAGGGTTGCTATGAATCAGAATCAAGTCTTGATGGCAATAGGTTTGGTTTTTTAGTTTTAGGTGTTTTCATGTTAACTTCCTGTCTAGCTTTGGCTTTGATTCTGACTATTCTAAGTTCAATTAGAGTTCATCTGTGATAATAAACTTATACATGGGTGCCACTTGAGGGGCTATCAATTGTTTGAGAAACTTATTTGCTTAAAAAAGTGTACTTTTAAGTGGGCAGCATTTTTAAAATGCCTGGTTCAGGCAAAAAGACGAGAGATGTACACAAAGATGCAAAGTGACATAATTTTTTCTATTACTACAGAGGTCAAAAAGTAAAACTAACGTGAGCTTCCTAAGTAAGGGCTCATTTTTTACTTACTTCAGTTTTGTTATTTCAAAGTACCTGAAAATCATGTGACAATTATCTTTAAAAAAAGGACAAGAAAATTTTGGCCAATAAGTGGGGGGCTGGAGTAAGTACACTAACTTACTCTGGAAAAATGGTTTTATTTTATGTAAGCCAGTAACAGGCTCAGGACCAGCACATTAGAACCTCTGAATGGTAATTAGCACGATGAAACAAAAAACCAAAAGGCTGGTAATTAGCCTTGAAGTAGAGGAAGGCCCGTCCGTGAAGAGTTTGAATTTTAAAATGTTTACAAACAAAAGATTACTTTTATACTCAGACATTCAATAACTAGCTAATAAATGTTTTGTTTTTGATAAACATGTAAGAATGCTTTGTAATAAATACACCAGACTCATCATCTTGATCTTGGCACGTACGGTAATTATACAGAAAATATCTGAAAACGGCTCATAAATCAGGTTATTGTGTAATTAGTTTTCAAAACTTCTTTTTCCCCCTTGTTTTAAGGATTACAAATTCCAGATTAGTGAAGTCTAAATAGCAGAGTACCAATTAATGATAACTTTTCCAAATGCAGGGTCATTTTCTAATTTTGTTTTTAAAATTTCACTTCAAAAATTTTTCAAGGAGACTTAATAAAGAGAACTAGGAACAAATCTGTATTTTGGAGACACAAACGCACTGTAACAAACCACTGGTTCTCAGCTGGGTGGGGGCTTTGCCTGCCCTGCCCTCTGCGCCCACCCAGGAGACCTTTGACAATGTCTGGAGACATTTTTGGTTGTCACAACTGTGGGGTTGAGGGGTGCTACTGGAATCTAGCAGGCAGGGGCCAGGGATGCTGGTAAACATCTACAATGCACAGGACCGCTCCCCACGGCAAAGAATTACCCAACTCAAAATGTTTATAGTGCCAGTTGAGAAATCTTGAGATAAAGCAACTGAAAATCAGGTCAATAAAAGATTCAGTCTTGGGAGGGGAAAAGAAAGAATTTCAAAGTAAAAGAGTTCAAACCTGTTCACAAAAAGGCTTGAGATTGATCCGGAGAGGAAACGTATAACGGCTAGTTTCCTTGTATCGTTCACACTTCACAAAATCAAAATTAAATCTTAGTAACGAAACAGTAAGAAAAGGAGGCAGCTTATGTAATTTGGCCAACTGTTAAAAGAAAATTTTAAAGAGTATTTTAAAAGCCAAGTTGTAAAGAATACATAATGTTTAAGACATGAAAAAGCAATCTATGATACAGACTTAAGAGAAATGTCTTAAAATACATAAATTTATTACTGTAGATTCAATATGGCTCTTGATATCAACTCATGTACTTTGAGACTGTAAAAATGGTGGGACCAAAGGTGGCATCGCTCATTTACGCTTACAACTAAAAACCTACTACCCAGTTTTATGTTTTAGTGTTGATATCCTAAAATGCTATTTGATGAGCATGTTAGAACTGGGTGCACCTCTCTCTAATTGTGCCTATGTCCTACCCAACTCTTAGCCTTTCACCTTCTTCCTTGGCGCCTCTCCTTTACCTACAGAAACATGGTTCTTTTTATTTACTCAAGAACTGGCACTCTTAACCTGGGACCCAGGTACCTATTTCAAAGGATACGAACCCCTAAATTATACGAAAATTTTATGTACAAACATATTTTCCTGGGGGGATGATCCGTAGCTTTGATTAGAGCTTAAAAAGGGATCTAACTCCTTGAACGTTAAGATCCACTGATTGGGGTTTTATGGTCACTGATCTTAAATTTAAAAGCAGCTAAGAAGATATTTTTTTTGCTTAAAGCAAAATAATTTTTTTTTTAAACTTCCTTAAAGCAAGATGTTTCTTGCTTTAAAACAGAACACTAAGTTAAGTTGTTTTTTACTTGAGAATCATCAGCCTTCCCAACTCCCTTGGATTAATGGCCCATGGCGGGAGGGGGAAATCCATAATCATATATATCTAACATCTCGAAAAATGTATTTTAAAAAATTTCACAAATCTGGGGAGGGGGTGGTGGAGTTAAAAGAAAAAAACCCAGCAATGTAACACCAGAGTAGCCTTTCAAACAAGCTCTAAAAATGCATCTAAAAAAACTGAGTAACTCGACTACAATGTGTCTGAGACAAGATGGCTCCGGACAGGAAAATCTGTGTCTATATAGGCAGCACAACCAAAGCCTACACAACCTCTGCAAAACATCCAACGCAACTAGAACAGGGTGCAATTTTAAAAAGTGATCAAGATAAAAAAAATTTTCTACTGAAAAAGAAACCAATGGTGATATAAAAGGCATAGGAAAGAGCCGCTTTTGTTTAGCAAAAGGTTCTTATTTTACTAATGCACGTACATGCAAATTAAGTTCAACCAAAAACCAAGTAAAGAATGTGCAGTTATCTAAGACTTTTCCAGCCTCTGAAGTTTATTTATTAGATTGTGGTTCTAACACAAAAGGTAAAATACAACATAAATAAGCAAATAATAAACCTCTCTTTTTAGGCTTCATAAAGGGGCAAAGGCTAGATGGAAATATATATCAAACGGTAAGATTCAGCCTGGTTTTAAACCCTGTTGTGGCAACTGTGGGCTTAGGCTTTATTGCTTACATTACATATCACCCAGAATCTCCAGGGTACAATATCAATATTGTGTGTTATCTCAATCAATGCTCATTTTATTTGTTGGAAAAATTCAGTAATTGTCCGCTGTAGGAATAGTGCTATCTCTGTCACAATGGGAACTGCAAAGTCATGTCCTGTGTGACAGCTCTTTAAGACAGTGCTCAATAACCACTGATCGAGTTGAGTACAAGTTTATGAAGTTTATGAACAGTCTATCAGATCCTCTACCAGCAGCGGACTAATTACCTCTGCAGATAATGATAATGGCAGTTGGGCTGATTTTGTATGGCCCATAGATAAAACGAGCTGACAAGGAAGGCCAGAGCTCACAAACGGCAAACCCAGGTCAGAGGAATGGGAAATGGCATTAATAAATTTACACATAAATATACATTTGCACAAACACACACACACTTATAAATTTATAGATTATCTGTAATAATCACCAGGTTAATGTTTTAAAGAGTTGTTTTTGTTGTTGTTGTTAGATGCCATCGAGTCAGTTCCGACTCACAGCGACCCTACGTACAACAGAATAAAACACTGCCTGGTCCTGTGCCATCCTCACAATTGTTTTTATGCTGAAGAATAATTAGTACTTAGCAATTTAGTAGCATTGGTAATATTTTAATGGTTTTGGTGAAAATTAAGTGATTGTACCAAAAGAACATTAAAAAACAACTTCACAGGGAGAAATCACAAAGAATTGTGAAAGAATGGTAAGAATATAAATGATTGATTGTGAGAAGATAAGGTGAAAGAAAAAAAATGCTTTTCGAAAATCTCTTTTCCAAAGGGAGTCATTCAGATACCAAAGACCCTTGAGAACAAGTGGATAAGATACCCTGGATCCAAAGGGCTTGATTAGTAAAGCACCGAGCACTTTCACCTAGACTGGGATAAGACGTCAATCTGGTAGCAGGTGTTCAAAACCTGCCAAAGTGCTGATATAATAAATCGCTGCCACAACATAAAGGAACTGGAGTATACAAAATTTATGATGCATGAAAACGGTAGCTGCCTCTCGTTCCTCTTCTTCCCAAAGCTTCTCCTCTTTGCTGGACTCTAAAATGTTAACTGTGAATTATAGGTACGGGAATGGCTATATGTATGAATGTGATGAATAAATCTGAGAAATATCAGCATTCCATGTCTATTGATCTGTTGTACTTTTCTCTCTTAGCTCTTACATTGCAAAAGAAATCAGTTGTTTAAATCTCGTCTTCCTTTCATCCTATACTTCGCTTTGCCGCACAGAAAGAAAACCAGATGCATTCTGTAAAGTCCCTTGATTAGCAAGTTAAAGTCTTCCCAACTGGGGGAAGAGGAAAGGGCATATTAGATTTGCTAGAGTGAGAGAGCACATATATTAATATCGTAAAATACTGTATATTAAGAAAATGAAAAAAGCCATTCAATTTCATAGTAGTGAAAAAAAAAAGGAAAGATCAACAAATTTCTTGGCAGAAATAAAAAGACACGCTGTCTTCTTCAAAACACTAACTTGCAAAAGGCACAGGTAAGAGGGGTTTATTAAAAAAAGGCATACACTTGGGTACAAATCAAGTTTTCCTGGGAGAGAAGGAAATTGAGAGGAAAGGACTGCTGGGTTGAAAGCTTTAAAAACTTCCTTACTGTAAAAAATTAAAATATAGAAGTGTATAACAGAAATGTTTTTTCCAACCCCCAGTGTTAATTATGAACAGTTTTCGTGTGTATTCTTTCCAGGCTTTTGTACAAGTTGACTTCACCTGACAGCTCTTCTTGCTACTCCATACTGAGCAGGAAGTACTAAGTGGGCCCCCGGGTAAAGGCAGAGTATCTATCTTTACCTTCACTGCTTTAACCAGCCTATCACAAGTTCCACAGTGGTATAAGTTGTCACAGTCAAAAACTTCCTCTTCTACATACATGTTCCAGAGTGCCTCTTCCAAACCAGACACATTTTTGACCGTTACCGTCAAATCTAAGAAGTCTTCCTGAAATACACATGAATATATATTCAAAAAACAATTTCACATGTTCATAAACACATCACCAACTCATACATACATTGGGAATAATCAGATATTTTCTTCCTAAAACACTGTACATATGAAGGTACAGCTCTCCTGATCAGATATTGTGAAACTCATAATACTAAATTATCTTTTACTCTAAATCAAACTATAATTTAGCTTAAAATGTATCAGAAAAAATTTCATAAAGAATCGAGTTTATCAGTTTGTTGTAGGTACAATAAAGCCCTTTAGGAAATAAAACAAACCACTGAACACGTATCTGAATTCAGAAGTGTAACCAGTACCATTTTAGTCTCTAGACTGGAAGGTAAAGCCAGGGTGGGAAAGGGAAGGGCAGGGTTGAATCTTCTAGTTAAACTTCAGTTTTTCATCTTCTCTTGCTAGGGTTGGTTTAAGATACATTGAGGAAGTTACAAGAAAAAAAATTATCTTGAGCCAGTATAAAAAGGTACTTCTAGGAAAATTAAGAGAGTATTTTACAAAAAGGGAGTCTACCAGTCCTACTATAACTACACTTGAATTACAATATATTTCTAGTAATAACCACTTAAAGTTTCCCACGTTTAAATAATATTTATAGTTTTGTTCGTGTGTACAACAGCATTATTTTAAGGGATTACGGACATTATAAAATAATAGGTTATTAATTCATGGTGGGAATCTTAAGTAATAAAAGTAACTTTTATATATAATTTACATGTGTGCAAAAAGTTAATGTCTATGGTTTATAATGGGCCTCTATATGTATTATGTTTTCAAATTACTTTGTGAATTATCACATCACAGTTAACTATACAGTAATCCAAAGATACACACATCTTAACTATTTCCAAACTAGACTGACAGAATATCTGCCCAGACAATAAGGGCTAAGAAATATTTTTTATTCCCAAATCTTTCTTTAAAAAAGAAAAAATATATATTCCATAAAAGCAATTAATGCAACAACTGGAAAACGGCATTTAGTTAATATTTTACTAATACAGTTAAATTCAGAAATTGTTTGTAACTCTTGCCAAAACAAAAGGAAATTTTTAGAATTACTGCTCAGTGAAGAACTCACCTGCTGTAGAAGATCTGTAGTACAAACAGAAGTTGTATTTACATGAGCAAATTTTCCATTTATAATTCTAATTAGAGCAAATGGGCAATCTAGGTTGTTACAGAGAACTGGAGATTACACTAATTAAAAACAGGACTATAAAACTCATATAAGCATACACATACAAAGGAATTTTCTGAAGGATATTAATACATTAAATCCAATACTTAATTATAGATGCTGGCCAATTCAAACATTCCTCAGTATTCTCTATTTTTATTACTTCCCTAATTAATTTTCTTCATAATATTCCAATCACCAACCCTGATGATACTGGCTTCTCTCATAAAGCTAGTCTTCTATCCATAAACATCCCACAAACACGAAGATGTTGAATAAAAGATTAAGTTACTGTAAGATATTTGCTTCTTGCAGTTTACATGGATAAATCTCGATTATAAACTAATAACTTAGGTGTAGTTACAGTAGAAGAAAAAAACAATAAAATTATTTCTAGCAATAAACACTTTAATCCTCGGATAGTATTACTGATCGCAAATTTAATTACATACGTTGTAATTTACCCTACAACCTATTACTAAGATACTCTTGCACGTTCACCTGCTTCTCACTGATGTTCTTGCAGTCTTTACAAACAATCTGGTTGACAACGGTTCCATGATACAGGCTCTTGATGAGGTCATGGCCTGAGGTCCCAACTAAAGAAGTTTCCAAAGCGCTGAAGAGAATTCGATTCAGCTCCTGAACGTCATGCTGCCTCATTTCCTATGAAACAGGATAACTTTTAAACGTCATTTTGTGCTTCAGATTTAAAAGCTAATATTAGTTTAAAAACCTGCGAGATTTATCCAGCAATTCAAAGGTAAGCCTTGATCAGATATAAGGAAGACAATTCAAAATCACCTGAGAGCAGGTTAATACTTGAGAGCACCCCCTATTTATACTACAAAATGAATATATGACTAGACAGCGTTCAGTGTGTTCATATAACTCAACTCACTTGATAACAAGAAAGTGCATTTATTCTTGTGGGAAAATATGCTCACGGCAATGACACAGCAAGGGGCAGAGGAAGGAACACAGCAGACAGACCAGCCTCTAACAGCTGGCAGTGTACGAACAGCGAAATCACACTTGGATCAGAGTGACTGGTGAACAGCGAATTATCAACATTTTCAAAGAAGTGGAATTCGCTGTTTAAGTACAGACCAACTGAAACAAGACTAGCACAGTGCAAGTGAGAAATACTCCTCTTGGAACTTGCTTTAATCTGTTACACGAGTCACTCAGCTGTGTGGGAACAGACTGAAATACTCCTTAAGAGCAGTTTCTAAATGACAGCCCAGGGGCACGACATTCAGACGTGGAGAGGAGGAGGAAGGACCAGGAGAGTACACGAGGAGAAAGAGCAGCCAGAGAGGACCCAGGAGAGCGTGAGGTCCGGAGCCAAGAGGACGCTGTACTGAAAGGAGGGAATGGCGAGTACTATCACGAGTCCATGAAGCGAAGAACGGAGAAACGGCTTGCGGACTTGGCAACACGGGTGTCAGCAGTTACTTCAACGAGAAAGGGAAAAAGGAGGTACAGAAACAAGTGGCAAGCGTAGAAACAGCCTCAGTGAAGGAAGACAATTTACAAAATGAGGTGGGAGCAGAAGCAGGTAAAGTAGAGGACCAGTGGAGCAAGATGTGAGGCTCTGGGTGTTTTTTTCCCTTTAACAAATGAGACCTAGAGGATGTGTGTCTGTCCAGTATCAGTGGCTCTGATGGTACAAGAAACTTGCAGAAGTGTTTGAGCTGTTTCTGAACAATCCTAAGTTTGGCAACAGTGCCTCCAAAACCCACTTCTATCACTTCAGCTCTATTCCTAAAGGGTTTCCTGCAAGATATTATTTAAAATTAAAAAAATTAAAATAAAAAAGGTCTTCATAGCTTTGGTAAGTATGATACCAGCACCTTAGTAGAAGTTCATTAGCAAAAACAAAGGGAAATTCACCCACTGATGAATGGATTTAAGAAATGTAGTATTTATCTATCCAACAGAATACTATTCGGCAATGAACTGGAATGAAGTACTAATGCACGTTACAACATGGATGGACCTTGAAAACATTATGCTGAGTGAAAGAAGCCAGTCATAAAAGATCACATATTGTATAATTCTATTTATATGAAATGTCCGGAACAGGCAAACCTATACAGAAAAAGCAGACTAGTGCTTGCCAGGAGCTGGTGAGAGGTGGGAACGGGAGGAAGGGGGGACTGCTAATGGGTATGGGGTGGTGAAAAGTGTTCTAAATTGGTTATCGTGGTGGTTGTGCAACTTTGTGAATATACACGAAAAGCCAATACACTGTACACTTTAAAGAAGTGAATTTTATGGTATGCAAATTCTATTTCAATAAAGTGGTTATCAAAAAAAGGGAAGGAAAAATGAATTAACCACAAGCACTCGTCCTATACCAGAAATTCAACATACACCCTTTAGGGTATGTATTATCACACCACTTTTATTCAAAGCCCGTGCACTTCTTCTCTCACCACATAGCATCATAAGGTAAAGGAGTATTCCTGGTTAGAAGACCACAGTTCACAGTTTATTGTTGAAGGCAACACGGCATTACTCCTATCAACCCCTCTGTAAATTCTGTGATAGCCTCCCATACCTGTCTGTAAGAACACATCTATTCCATAAAAAGTCAAACAGCTGGCTTTGACTGATTCCATCTAGTTCACCAAGACTGACAACAAGCACCCCTTTACTTGTTGCTAACAAATGCTTATTATTTTCACATAATGGAACAGCTTTTATGAACTCACACAGAAAAATGAGAGAAAGTCCCCACACATTAGGACTCAGGAAGAAAAGACAGTCAGGAGAAAGGACAGGGAGGATGAAAAGACCTGGCAAGAATAGTTTCACTGTTTTGCTTGAGGCAAATGTTCAAAGCAGAACGCGCAGAGGCAAAACAAAAGCACAGACCACAAAGGCAGACAGAATTTTTGGAATAACCTGTCATTTGGTTTATCTGTTATTGCTAGCCAAAGCCTAAAAGGCCGATTAGCAGCCTGCTGTGTAAGTGCTAAGCAGCTTTCAAGCAATATGCGTTGTATCTTGGTTAGACTATAAAGACTCTCAGGACAGAAATGGTAAAAATCAGGTCTTCTTCTTCTTCTGTATCCACAACCTTCTCCCCACCCCAAAATCACAGCCATTCAGAAAGTCCTGCACAGAGCAAGTCTCTAAAAATATTTTTTTGGCTTGTAAATTTTTAATAAGAGAAGGAAACATTTATACAATATCTTCAGACCCTAAGATAAAATTAAAGGAAGTGAGATAAGTACATACTAAATCAGTGTTTACTCATTCCTTTATTGCCTGCAACTTTGGCTTAGAGAACCTTCCCTTCGTACCTCATTGCTGGTCCACCCAAAGCTGTCAGTGAGGTCTGCTGTGGATGCAGCTTCCTGGTCTAAGAGCAGAAGCTGAGCAAATAGCCGCTGTAACTGCAAAGGGATGATTCGAACCTGAACGACAAAAGCATTTCTAAATGAAGTATTTTAAATGTTGATTATGGATTTTAAAAAGAACTGCATACTCATTTTATATCTCCTACTATCAGTTCATTCAGTTCACACAGAAAAGCATTTCTAAATATCTTATTACAGAAGGTGAACTAATTAAGATTCAGGTTTTCTTTGACGATTCCAATTTAATCCAAAAAGTTGTAATTATCTGGAATTTCTACCCTGGCATAATTCAGATCAATATTAAAACTCAAACAGACCCTAATAAACCACCCAACTGATTACAGACTGACAGTAAATTAAATCTCTAATAGCTCATTCTTTCTCTAAAATATCTCAGATACAAACATACTCCTCCTGGCCCTGATGTGCCCTGCCTTGCTTGCTTCCTGCTCACTCCAAGCCCGCTCCCCTCTGATTTGGGGTGCTGAGGGCGAGGGTATAATGCAGGCTGGAGAAATGGAGGGGCTGGCTGAGTGGCACCACTCACAGTCTGGTTTGTGGACTAAACTATAAGTATCAAGAGTGAGAATATGCAGAGAAACTTTTATGGCAATTTGACATTGCCACGGCATTTTTATTATATCTTACAAAAGGCTTGATCCCCAACAGATTGGGAATTTAAACACACACACAAACTGGACCTTTGCCACACAGGTGGTCTGAGAAACCCTGGGCTGGATCTACGAAGAAGTATAGGAGCTATCCTGAAAGCAATAAGGAACTTCTGAATGATTTTCAAGCAGGGGAAGAACATGATTTTATCAAGGATCTGCATTTTTAATAAAGTCTCACCACACTAGCATACAAGATAATACTTTACTTAGTCAATTTATTTCCAGAATATCAATACTGAAAAAATATTAATCTGTTTTTTTTGTTGTTGTTGCATAAAAGCGCATTAAATAGTTTTTTTAGTAGGTTAATGTGGATAATCTGTAAATATCTTCATCACCAGAAGAAAGAATAAACACAGGGAAGAGTGAAGTATATTTATAAAATTGTTTTTGGAAGGAAAATTTCATTGTCAATAGGTTATAGGCCAAGTCACTTTCTACAAACAAATTAGATTTGGTAATTAATAAAGGGACTGTTTTCTATGAATAAGAAACTTAATTCCTTTAAAAAAAGCATTTCCTCAATACTCCAGCCCCCGCCCCGTCCCATAAATCTTAGATTTAATACCTTGGCCTCAGGTTTATCCTTATCCTCTAAAGAACCAAGCTCTTCTGGACCGAGAGAAAATAACGCTTCTAAACAGAAAGGCAGAAGCAGAGACGTAAACGACAATATCTCATTTTAGAAAACTGTTTTAGAGAGCTAAGCCCACCATTAAACGAAATCAGCTACAGATTCAGTAATACGACTCTGGCAATATTTATATCATGACTCCACATATTCTGCTTTCTTGTAACATTATTTTATGTTGGAAATATTTCTGCCAGCTTATTTTCTGACTTCCCATCTTGTTTAGATGTTTTATACGTTAAAAAAAAAAAAAATGTAATTTATGTAACCAAAGCCATCAGTCTTTTCCCTTTGGTGTGAAACTTTAACGTAACTTTTCAACCCAAAGATTATATAAATATTCATCTGTATTACCTTCTAGTACATAAACAGAGTTTTAATAAACATTTAGATAACTGATATAACTAGAATTTATTTTGCTTCAACTCTTTTTTTAAAAAAAATATTTTATAGTATTTTAGGGTAAAGTTCACACAGCAAATTAGGTTCCCATTTGACAATTTTGATAAAAATTGTTTCCTGACATTGGTTGCAATTTTCACAGTGTGTCAGTATTCTCATTATTTCCACTGTTTGTTCTGTTTCCATTGATTGATACGGCTTCCCTTCCCCTCCTTGCCTTCTCACCTTTGCTTTTGGGTAAATGCTGACAGTCTGGTCTCAAATAGTTGATTGCTCAAGGGAGCACATTACTCACGGGTGATATTGTTTTTTAAGTATTGTGACATTATTTTTCACCGCTGACTCTAAGAAAATAAAGTGGCATGCTAACGTTTCAGAGACTTCTATGGTTTCTCATTGCCTATGGCAGTGGATTCCAAAAGCCACATGAGGAATGTGAGGAAAATGTAGGGTTGCCCCCCGCAACACCGACGGGCACTTACATACCACATGTAAGGCTGCCCATACTTCCTTTCTGACCCTTCTGTCAGAGATGGTACCCTTCCTTCTTTTGGTGTTAAAACATCTTTTCTACGTTGAGGGTGACCTTACTTGGAAAACTAAGATGGCACTGCATGTTAGTCTCCTGAATTTAAGCCAAGGCCTAGGTGCCCCAAGCAGGGGGGCATTTCTGAATCTTTTGGAAAGTCTGTTCCAAATCTAGATAGGAACTCCTGCTGGGAAACACTGATATACTCCACGGAGACAAGGGATGGAACAGGTGTTGTCTCCCCATCGAAAACCACTGCTCTTGGGAGTTACTGTTATTAACGTATGTTATATTCCTCTGAAGGCTGGAACTGGGAAAAAGTGATCCTAGATGTTAAAGCATAAAAACCAAAAAGGCGTAAGAACTTTTACAGTCCCCTCTCACTACTGTCAGCTGCACTGTACTGGCAGTATAAGGGAATCCACCCTAGCCCTGTTCTACTCTCCAAAACTGTCTTCCTCCAGTTCTGGCCAGTTCATACCCCTTTCAAATGAAATCTCCCTTCACTGAGCACTGGGATTCGAGCTAAGCCCCAGTCCACACTAAGATGCCAAACTACATCCTTGGTTGGCAGTCCCCTTTGCGGGACAGGAAGGTCTGGGACATTCTGTCTGATCCTTCCTTAGTGATAACTCTCCATGACCTGCCCCCACCCCCCGCCCCAGCTGTTACCAATGCAAAGGAGACTCTCTTCCATCTTCAGTCTCTTTTTAAGGCTACTTTTCTACTTCAAGTTGTCCTTTAATTTCACCTGTATTGAAGCCTGGAAAAGTTTTATCCCTCCAAGGAATCTGCTTAGTAATCCTGAAATTACTAACGGTGGAATTACTGATGGCATCGGGGAAATATTTTCATGGAGATGGAGGCAAGGACAAGAGCACGTTTCTTAATCCCACATGCAGTCCAATCCGTTAGACTGGCCTGGGAAGAGGATAAGGGAAAATATGTACTAAATCTCTGGAGGCAGAAGTCTTTCTAAGCTTAGAAGCAATGGAAGACATCATGGGGATTTGGTAAATTCAGCAGTGGTGCCAACGGGCATGCGCAGAATGGATACAGGCCAGGATGTCTCTCCTCTGAATACAGAGACTCTGTGGAAAACTGAGCTACAAAGTCACGTTGTCAGGGACCCCAGTCAGGCCCAGGTTTCACACGAAACTGAGGGCAGAGACTAAGACCTCTGTAGAGGAAGCCAGTTTGCAGGGATGGGAATGGGACAAACATGTAGAGGGAAGCAGGGACAAGAAATCAAGGGTCCAGTGAGGCTAGGCTTGCTTCCTGTGGTTGGTTTCTGGGAGAGTCTCCTATATTCCTTTAGTAAACCCCTTTTTTAATTGAGGTGATCTGAGTAGGTTTCTGTTCCTTGCACACAATTCCTTATGTTAAATCTTTGGGGCTTTCGAATTCAGAATTTCCAGATCCTAGAAAGGTAATATGAAGAAAGGGCTATGTCTATTTACCCTGTCCCACGGTCTGGCACAGACAGTATTCATTAATCAAGCAGATTAATATTCCTGTAACAAATGCATGAATAGTCACCCTGATGTATACAGCCTCACATAAAGTCAAGTTCTGAGGCCAAACAAGTTCAAATCACATCAGATCAGGGTATCAGAGCTTTCTGGATCTCAGAACTGCAGATAAACCCTTGTGGACCTGTATAAACACTAATGTGACATCCTTTGCCCCCAAGAGTTCGGGTAACTCTGCCTTAACTTTGTTACTCTGGAGATCTTTTAAGATTCAAAATTTAAAACTTTTCATATTAAAAACACAATTTAAACACAAATAGTGTAACAACAATGAAGGCTGATACTCAAGGCAGATTTGTCTTTATGTTGAATTTTAAACTGAGAAACCTAAAAGAAATATATTGCCTTATTTTTTGCTTTTGTTACTAAACATTAGTGCCATCACACAGAACATATTTAAGAGAATTTAAGCTTCGTATTTCTTTGCAAAAGAATTACCCAAGGTTTGTCTTACATCTGTAATAAACACATACTGTGGAATACATCTTTAAGATACTTTGTCTATTTTTCATTTTGCATAATTACATGTAGAGACAACTGTACATATTACTAATCAAATGCATGTAACATTCCATACCTCTGAATTCAGGTGTGAAATGAAGAGTCTGAAGAAGAGAATTGAGGTAACAGGTGCCACCCTGATTTCTGATTCCGCTTAAATTGGTGAATTCTCTAGGGGCAGATGGCTCCAAAGCTTTAGTCTTTAACTTCTTCCCTTTTTCATACTGATTATTTGACACTCTGGGAGAATCCTCTTCAAATAGGTCCCCAAACATTGTGAAACTAAATACTACCCTTAAAAAAATAAGACATGTTACAGAAATGTTTTATTTAAAAAAAAAAAAAAAAATCCCCAAATCTCCCTGCTTTACACTTAGAAGTTCTCTATCTTAAGTTTTTCCTTAGAAAGTATGTGCAGTCCTTTGGGCTTTGGAGGCAGCAAGACATGGATTTTTTTCATCCATGCCAAGCTCCTACCTACGTGTGTGGCCTCAGGCCAAGTTACCGAGCCTGTTTTCTTGTATGCAAAATAGGCTACCACCTATGCCGAAGGGTCATTTTAGCCCTTAAATGACATGATGAAGGAAAGCCACTTAGTGTGTAGGGTCTGGCCCACAATAAATGAAAGCTATTTTTTAAAGGGCACAGTCACATAACTAATGAAAAGAGAAACAAAACCCATCACCGCACCTAATTCACTGATGGGGTGGCAAAGCCAATCACAGATTCTGAGTTGACAGATGCCTGGGCACCATCAATCACTAAAATCTCTGCCTCTAACACCCCTCAGGACCTGATACGACACCTAAATGAATTAAATAAATCAAATTAACCTACTTTATAGCAGTTTAGTATGTAGCCTCCAAGCTGGAGAGCCAGGAGGAGGGTCACTGGAAAGACCCTGCCAGTAACATCATCACGCTAAAGGCCCTCCAAGCTGTACCCAGTGAGCCAAAGATCAGCCCTGGGGGCCTAGATGACCTGCTCAAGATCTCACATCGGATGTTGCAGAGGGTCACTTGCAGATCTGGAATGCAAAGCACCTAGCACACTTCCTACGCGACAGGAAGTGCATTTACGACTGCGTTCCTGACAGGAATGCAATTATTCTCAAGTCCGTTCCTCAGGGGAAAAAATTATAGAGAAATGGAATTCTGAAATCTGGTCTCGAGCTCGCTGTCGGGATTCGTGTCTTCCCACTCCAGGACCGAGGATGGGGCCCTCTGGGCCTTAGGACCCCCGGGGGGCTGGGGCACAACGAGACGGAGGCCGCAGCGACAGAAGACCGCGGACCCGACGCCAGGAGAGCGCCGCTTCCCCAGGCAGGCCCGAACCGCTCTTCGCCTCGCCCTCCTCAGGCTGGACCGCCTACACTGTCCCAACGCCTTCCACCCCCCTCCCGGGGCGCCCGGCCGCCAGCCCCACTTACAACCTAGAGCCCAGACCCCCGCCCCAGCCAAAACTCGAAGCGAACAAACACGCCTCAACCGGACGCCTCCATGCTGGCGAGGGTGGGGCTCCTGCGGCGCTCCTGCGGCCGCGCGGACTACGTCTCCCAGGATGCCCCGCGGGAGCGCCTGCCCATCCTGCGGGGCCTTATGGGCAATGTAGTTCTTCCGACGCGAGCGTTTAGGAGTGAGGGCGGGTGGTAGCGCTCCCGTTGGCCAGCGGGCCACTCATTCATTCACATTATTAAGTTTGTATTTATTGCTGTTTGCAATCCATACTAGCTGCAGTAGAGTGTACAGAGATCACGAATACTTGTCTTTACCATGGCTAATTCCCAACTTAAGGTCCCTGGATGGCACAAACGGTTTGCACTCGACTGCTAACCTGAAGGTTCGCTGCTCGAACCCACCCAAAGGTACTTCGGAAGAGAGGCTTGACAATCTGCTTCCGTTAAGAAAATGCTACGGAGAACACTCACCGGCAACTAAAATCAATTCCCAACTTACTTTGTTGTTTGTTGTTAGTTGTCATTGTGTCAGCACCCACTCATGGCAACTTTCTCTGTTGTTGTTGAGGGCCACTGAGTCGGTTCCGACTCATGGTGACCCTGTGTACAACAGAACGAAACACTGCCCGGTCTTGACCCATCCTCACAATCCCTGTTATGCTTGAGCCCATTGTTGCAGCCACTGTGTCAATCCATCTTGTTGAGGATCCTCCTCTTTTTTCGTTGGCCCCCTACTTTACCAAGCATGATGTTCTTCTCCAGGGACTCATCCCTCCTGATAACATGTCCAAAGTATGTGAGAAGTAGTCTCGCCATCCTTGCTTCTAAGGAGCATTCTGGTTGTACTTCTTCCCAGAAAAATTTGTTCATTCTTTTGGCAGTCTGTGGTATAGTCAATATTCTTCACCAACACAATTCAAAGGTGTCAATTCTTCTTTGGTCTTCTTTACTCATAATCCAGCTTTCGCGTGCATATGGGGCAATTGATAACACCATGGCTTGGGTCAGGCGCACCTTAACTACTTCAAGGTGATATCTTTGCTTTTCAACACTTTAAAGAGGTCTTTGGCAGCAGATTTGCTCAGTGCATTGGGTCTTTTGATTTCTTGACTGCCGCTTCCATGGGTGTTGATTGTGGATCCAAGTAAAATGAAATCTTTGACAACTTCAATCTTTTCTCCATTTATCGTGATGTTGCTTATTGGTCCAGTTGTGAGGATTTTTGTTTTCTTTATGTTGAGGTGTAATCCATACTGAAGGCTGTGGTCTTTGATCTTCATCAGTAAGTGCTTCAAGTCCTCTTCACCTTCAGCAAGCAAGGTTGTGTCATCTGCATAACACAGGTTGTTAATGAGTCTTCCTCCAATCCTGATGCCCCATTTTTCTTCGTACAGTCCAGCTTGTCAGATTATTTGCTCTGCATACAGATTGAATAGGTATGGTGAAAGGATACAACCCTGACACACACCTTTCCTGACTTTAAACCATGCAGTATCCCCTTGTTCTGTTCGAACGACTGCCTCTTGATCTATGTACAGGTTCCTCATGAGCACAATTAAGTGTACTGGAATTCCCATTCTTTGCAATGTTACCCATAATTGGTTATGATCCACACAGTTGAATGCCTTTGCATAGTCAATAAAACACAGGTAAACCTCTTTCTGGTATTCTCTGCTTTCAGCCAGGATCCATCTGACATCAGCAATGATACCCTTCGTTCCACGTCGTCTTCTGAATTGGCTTGAATTTCTGGCGGTTCTCTGAAGATATACTGCTGCGACAGCTTTTGAATGATCTTCAGCAAAACTTTACTTTCATGTGATATCAATGATATTGTTCGATAATTTCTGCATTCTGTTGAATCACCTTTCTTGGGAATAGGCATAAATACGGATCTTTTCCAGTCAGTTGGCCAGGTAGCTGTCTTCCAGATTTCTTGGCATAGATGAGTTAGCACCTCCAGCACTGCATCCGTTTGTTGAAACATCTCAATTGGTTTTCCGTCAATTCCTGAAGCCTTGTTTTATGCCAATGCCTTCAGTGCAGCTTGGACTTCTTTCTTCAGTACCATCGGTTCCCGATCATATGCTACCTCCCGAAATGGCTGAACGTCGACGAATTCTTTTTGGTATAGTGACTCTGTGTATTCCTTCCTTTTAATGCTTCCTGTGTTGTTTAATATCTTCCCTGTAGAGTCCTTCAATGTTGCAACTTGAGACTTGAGTTTCTTTGTCAGTTCTTTCAGCTTGAAAAATGCTGAGCAAGTTCTTCCCTTTTGGTTTTCTATCTCCAGGTCTTTGCACATGTCATTATAATACTTTGCCTTGTCTTCTCAATCCACCCTTTGAAACCTTCTATTCAGCTCTTTAACTTCATCATTTATTCTTTTCACTTTTGCTACTCGACGTTCAAGAGCAAGTTTCGGAGTCGCTTCTGACATTCATTTTAGTCTTTTCTTTATTTCTTGTCTTTTTAATGACCTCTTGTTTTCTTCATGTATGATGTCCTTCCACAACTCATCTGGTCTTCAGTCATTAGTGTGCAATGTGTCAAATCTATTCTTGAGATGATCTCTAATTTCAGGTGGGATATGCTCAAGGTTGTACTTTGGTTCCCGTGGACTTGTTCTAATTTTCTTCAGCTTCAGCCTGAACTTGCATATGAGTGATTGATGGTCTGTTCCACAGTTGGTCCCTGGCCTTGTTCTGACTGATGATATTGAGCTTTTCCATCGTCTCTTTTCACAAATGTAGTCAATTCCTGTGTATTCCATCTGGCAAGATCCACGTGTATAGTCGCCGTTTCTGTTGGTGAAAAAAGGTATTTACAATGAAGAAGTTGTTGGTCTTGTAAAATTCTATCATGTGATCTCTGGCATCGTTTCTATCACCAAGGCCATATTTTCCAACTACCGATCCTTCTTCTTTGTCTCCAACTTTTGCATTCCAATCACCAGTAATTATCAATGCATCCTGATTGCATGTTTGATCAATTTCAGACTGCAGAAGTTGGTAAAAATCTTCAATGTCTTCGTCTTTGGCCTTAGTGGTTGGTGTGTCAGTTTGAATAATAGTTGTATTCACTGGTCTTCCTTGTAGGCATGTGGACATTATCCTATCACTGACAGTGTAGTATTTCAGGATAGATCTTCAAATGTTCTTTTTGACGATGAATGCAATGCCATTCCTCTTCAATTTGTCATTCCTGGCTTAGTAGACCATATGATTGTCTGATTAAAAATGGCCAATACTAGTCCATTTCAGCTCACTAATGCCTAGGATATTGATGGGTATGCATTCTGTTTCATTTTTGACGATTTCAAATTTTCCTAGATTCATACTTTGTACCTTCTAGGTTCCGATTATTAACAGATGTTTGCAGCTGTTTCCTCTCGTTTTGAGTCATGCCACATCAGCAAATGAAGGTCACAAAAGCTTGACCCCATTCATGTCATTAAGGTCGACTCTACTTTGAGGGGGCAGCTCTTCCCCAGTTATATTTTGAGTGCCTTTCAACCTGCGGGGCTCATCTTTTGGCACTATATCAGACAATGTTCTGCTGCTATTTATAAGGTTTTCATCGGCTAATCCTTTTCAGAAGTAGACCGCCAGGCCCTTCTTCCTCGAATGTCTTAGTCTGGAAGCTCAGCTGAAACCTGTGCGCCATGGGTGACCCTGCTGGTGTTTGAATACCAGAAGCATAGCTTCCGGCATCACAGCAACACGAAAGCCCTCACGGTACAACCAACTGACAGACACGTAGGGGAAGTGGTTTGGAAATTGCCTCTGAGATTCTCCAACCGCCGGTCACAGCTTATGACCTCTACAGCCGTACGTCAATTTGGTTGCTAAAAAGTGACTTTGTTTTGGAGTATCCCCAACGTGTGATGCCCAACATGATCTACATTGGAGGCATCAACTGCAACCAGGGAAAGCCATTGCTACAGGTAAGTTACGTCTTCTTTAGCCCATTAAGAACAACCTGGCTTTGGGTATAAAAACTGACTCCTTGCTGAACTGGGATTGGTCATTTACGTTTGTCACATTTCTGATTTCTTTCTGGTTCAATGACTTGTTTTATGCCATTTCCTTTAATTGTGGATGAACAAATTTCATAAAGTGGATCCCTTTGGTATGTGTGTGTGTATAACTGATGACTCTCCAGGCTGCATTTTCTAATTCTTTCATTTGAAAACTACTAAAAAAAAAGTAGTAAGAAATGAAATTGGCCTTTTTGCTAGTCCTGTATCAGCCTCCATAGGAAAATGCTCTGAAATTGTTTTTCTAAAATTGTTTCACATCTCTATATGCATATATAGATGTAATTTTAACATCCATTTTACTAAAATGAAATATGGAATCTGGCTGGAGATACTGTTCTTTAACTTGCATTTTTTTACTTGCCAATAAATTGTAAATACCTTTATAAGTCAAAGCATAAACATCTAGCCTGTTGTTTTTAATGATTGCATGAAATTCTTTACTTTGAATGTCCTGTAGTTTATCTAAACAGGCAGTATTGATAAATAACTAACAATAATAAGAATATATGTATACCTAATATTATATATATGTAAATACATAACAATGCATATATTTATTTACATGAGTGAATGCAAACTTCAAAATGACAATTATAGCATTAGTTGGCCTATAGGATGTACACCCTTATATAATGTAACCCATTTTAATGAGGATTTTTTTTTGGAATAAAAACAACTGTGTACTTCCCATCATACACACGCTAAAGGTGTTTTACATGTTTTTGTAGCAGATAACAAGTTGTTTTGTTTATGTAAAGTCAACATGTTGTATCAGGAATCTGCAAACTTTTTTTGTAAAGGGTCAGATAAATATATTTTAGGCTTTGTGGGCCACATGACGTCTTTGTCACTCACACCTCTTTGTATTATTTTTGCTTTTTAAAAAATTGTTCTTTAGGAATGTA